TAAAATATTGAGTAAGAGTCAAATGTTTGCAGCAGAAATTTGGTACAAGTGATCGTCGGAAAGAGTTAATGATTTGCGTCTTATAAAGATAATTGTATATTTATTATAAATCATATATTATATTATTTTTGATTAATTTTAATAAAGATCAGATTATTTAAGTTGTATTATATAAATACAAATAAAAATATAAGTTTTATGATTAATTTTATATCTAATATAATTTTAAAATTAATTACTAGTCAAAATAAAAAAAAGATCAAACAACTTTTATTTAACAAGTTCAAATATTGATTTTCTTTCAAAAAAAGAATATTATAAAAACATTAGGTTAAATCTATAATATTAATTTTTACAAATATAAATTAAAAAAAAATAATTAGCAAAGCACATTTAAAGATTTAGAAAAAGTTAATTATCCAATTTTGTAGATAAACCAACTCAAAGAAAAATAGTAAATCATATTATCTCTTATTATTATTTTATTACCTTTGAAATAAAACTATTTTAAAATAAATAAAAATATTTAAATATTAATATCTACTATTCACCAAATATTTCAAAAATATAAATTAATGTTGAATATAAAAAAAAACTCTATATAAATAATAATTATCAAAAATACACCTTATTTTTATAAAAAAATATAAAAATTGGATTATTAAAAATTAATTCAAAATAATTTAGTTGAATGAATCAAGGTTTTAAATTTTTGAATTAGATAATAAATAATACTATTAGAAATATTATGAAGAATTATTAAACTAATTTCATGTTAACCCTACTATGAAATTTAACAGTAAATCAATTATAATTTGAAGTTACTTTACCTTTTGTGATATTGATAACTATTGTAAAATTGATAGTATAATAAATAATGAATTGTATTATTAAATACTTTATAAAAATTTGATGTAAACAATTGAGAATCATGAATTTAAAATTAGTAAAATTATTTTTCAAGATGAAACATCTTGTCATATAACAAACTTAACAAAACATTAACTTAAAAGAAATAAGGTAAATATTTTTAACTAACCTCCTCAATTGTCTGATCTTAACCTAATTGAACACTTATAAGACAAAGTTGATTATTGACTTAGAAACCTCCTAATCAAATTTCAAATAAAAAAGATCTTTGAAAAAAAATTCAAATAATTTAACAGGTAATTAACATTGAAACCTGCATGAAATTAATTCATTCAATATCAGAATAAATCTGTGATGTAATTAAAACCCGGGGCAGCTACATCAAATGGTGACGGCTAAGAATTATTTGAAAAGAAAAAAATTTTTTTTTATTTTGCAATCGTGTTGCTGTTAAAACGAGCAAAAATAAGGCAACACGTAAATTGAAATAAAGCTCATGCCCCCAAAAATTTTAATACTAATTTTTAAATCTTTTTATTAATGATAATATTACTATTTGCGAATAAAATAAAAAAAAATTAACAGATACGATCCAACTAAATTTTTTTTTGTTGCATTATTTATGATCGCCAGTGTATATCACATGATAGAGGCATTGCCTCTTAACCCTGTGCCCCAACTCTACCTGGAACGGTACCAACGATCCATCAAGAACGGTATTTTTGCACTTGATAGATTTCGATGAAAGCTTTTTTATTTGAATTCTGCAAACTTGTAGAATTCGAACAAAAAAAATTTATCAAAATTTATTAGGTGGTCGATAAAGCTTCATTCGAAGTTTTAAAAAATAATTGAAAATAATATACATCACGTGAAACGGGAAAAAATGGACTGGTTTATTTCGATAGTTATAAATTTGAAGTGTCAAATATTTTATCAATTATAGTCGAATTCATCCAGATACTTTGATAAATCAAAATCGATATCTCCGGAAATTTGTTTGACGCAATCATAACTTACATTACACCGATATGCACGGCTTCCCAGACGATCATATGGAACTGTGCAAACTACAAGATGGTGTGCAACAAACGATTCAATCTAAATAGTAAAACGTGCTAGTATCTTAACACTGCTAATCCATATAAAAAACGGTAAAAATATTACAAGTTTACAAACCTGTTGGTGTATATCGACAGTTTGAATGTTCTTGTGATCATGATATATACTTTGAAAAATAGCCAAAACGCGTTCCAGTTCAAATGATTGGGGTCCTTTTAATTGTTGTGTAAGCTATAGTCAATGAAATCAAAAATGAATTTATGAAAAAAAGAATAGTGGCACATTATAAACATCAGGGGATACCTTTGCTGGGCTATTATCATGCGATAGTTTTTGCTTTTTTGGTGTTCTTGGCAACTTCAGTTTCTCACATGCCTTTGTTGCAAAATAACGCTGATCAAGATTTTGTGGAATGTATGAACCTAAGAATGTCGCAATTAACAAATATAACGACCATTGAGGCAATTGTTCTCCGAAGTTAGCTGTTTATATTAGGAATGATAATTAATGATTATGTTTACACATTACATAAAGATTTTAGACTTCAACGCTCACCTGCTGAAATATTCTGTAAGTATAATTTATCCAATGCTGCATTGAAATGTGATTTCAATTCATTGCACAACAGAGATATATCGTTTCTTGTTGCTACATAAGTATAAGCTGGAATGTTCATTATGGACCAAAACATGTTATTATGCAGGGAATTTCTCAAACCTCTTTCATCTTGTACAGGTTCAACGAATTTATCAAAAAGATCTGGTAATAGCCGAAAAAAATCAATCAAATCGCAATTTTCGTAAAATGAGTCACAAACATTTTCAATAAACGCTTTGTAGAAACATAAATCTTCGTCATCTGGGCAACTTTTAATCAAAATTTGAATTACTTCATGTATTTATAATTGTTATTTGTTAAGGATTAGATTATAGATATATTATGAAATACGAAATAATAACTGATGAAATTTGGATATCCTTTGTATATTCGGGAAAAAATATTTGCCATGGCTCAGATATTCCAACGACAACTCTGAATTTTTCCCACGGAACTTGTGAGATAAATATTCCACAAACATTTAAACCAGTCTTGATATACAGATGTAGAATTGTCATATTAGAACAAGATCAGAAGATTTGTTATGATAAAAAATCGACTTACCCATTGAGGAAGTGTCAGTAAGGCAGGAGTTAATGTCGATGATAAATTCCATAATGCATCCGCATTATCAAAGATCTGAACCAGTTAATATAGGTGATTTAGAACGCGATTTACTAAATAAAAGATTCTTCCTACCATATATCTAGTTTCGGAATCCAATTTGCACGTTTTTTGCAATTTCATAGCAAAATCATTGATATTTTTGCAAGAAAGTTGTTGGCCAGTTAAATGAGTTAACGTAATTCCAAATAAATCTTCAGCGGAATAACAAACTCTACAATCAAGAAAGGAGTATTGACGAGAGGTGAAGCCAAGTTTAAAGAGCCTCCTAACCAGTTCAGTTTTTCCGAGTGCTCTATTTCCATGAATGAAAATCGTAGGTGGTGTTTTTTCTTTTGGCTAGTTAAGAATAAAATTCAGGCCTTAATTGTTTCTTCCAGGCACTAAACCCGTAAACGACAGAATAAATTACCGCGCCAAACCAATTCAATAATGTTTCAATTTGACGCGTCCTTCCAGGGAATTCTTCAGACAATATGTTTTTTAGTTGTCGCGGTTCTAAGGCCATGTCGAAAGGAATGCGGTCGAACAAATATGTCGCGTTAGTTTATAACTCACCAAAATTTCGGGTCGGAATACGTCGGGAGGATGGAAGATCCTTTTAAAATTTAGAGGTTTTTTTAATATTTCTCAATGAGTACTTAACTAATTTTAGTGAATTTTTTTTATTTTAATTCTATAAGTTAAATAGAATTAAAATACCAAATTTTTTATCGAGTTTAGTTAGATAGTCGTTGAGAAAAGTTCGTTCAAAATTTTAAAAAAGATCAAAAATCTTAGAAAAAAACAAAAGACAGTAGTAAAAATTTTTTTTAAATAAGGTAATTACTAAGGAATATTTTTTAAATTTTTAATAAAAAACTTGATGCAGCTTTTTTTTCATAGGTACTAAAACTTTGAGTAAAGTTTTTTTGATAAATATCTAATCAAAGTTGGTAAAAATCTTTTATTTTAATTTTATGCTTATAAATTAAAATAAAAAAATATTAAATTTGGTTAGATATTATTAAGAAATTGTTATTTAAAGTTTAGTATCTATAAAAAAAAAAAGCTGTAATAAGTTTTTTATATTTGTAGCTTTTTTGTAACACAGAACGGAAAGGCTATGCATAATTGTAAATATAATATATTATTTTTATTTTTATTTTTTTTAATTTTGATAGTTACAATGGTTAATCAGTTAGAAGTTTATTTATAAATGTTTAGTACAAATGATATACAAATATAATTTTATGTGTTATTATTACACAGTTATCCTAATTAGCATCTACAAATGATCTGCTGTATTAGACCTGCTAAAGTTTAGATTAAGTTCATCTGCTTATTATTCTACAATTGAACAGCATCAATCTAATATCATTTGTTAGTAGAGAGATAAAAAAATAAAAAAAATTTTTTTTGTTAAAAGAGAAATATATTAAAAAAAAAAAGTATATAGAAGAGAAACATAAAAAAAAAACAAATATCAAGAAATAAAAGAGATGGTATTGCTAATGAAGATCAAACAAATAGTTATTAATTATAAAAATTGTGTTGGCTTATTAAAAATTATATGTTACTAAATACAGTAATCTCTATTTTAGCTTTATTTATTTTTTTTTTTTAAATATTAAGGTAAGTACATGTGATCTAGAATTTTATTGGTAGTATCAGTTGACTAATATCTGTTAATATAATAGTGCAGAAGTAAATATAAAAGAATGTACAATTAGTCACTCATACAACTTTAAATATTGTTTAATTTAAGTAGTCTACCTGAAGGTTCTACACTAGTTACTATATCTAGAACCTATCTGTAGGATTTTATTTAAACATTCTGATTCTGTATCCATCACATCCTACTAACAACTCTGATAAACTGATAAAGATATATTATAGTTACTAAGTTATATTTAATTTTGTACTAAACTTATCAGTGCATTCTGTATCTTATACTTATAGCTCACCTGATATCATTTTGGTCTAAACCATCATTTATAATTAAACTAATCATTAAACCACTTTTATTCTTATAAGATTTACCCAAAACCTTGATATTCATCTTTCTGATATCTTTTTTATCATCTTCTACTAACTGCTATTAAGAATCAACAGGACTCCTCAAACTTCCAATTCAAATAGCCTGATATAATATATTTTAGTATCCTTTTTTTCTGATGATTTCAGTAACCTGATTGATTATATGCTTCTTTATACATCTTGCCATCTGGTTTATTCACCTATTTCTTTAGAGTGTTTCATAGGCTTTTATCAGTCTAATAATACCATTGAAAGTTTTGTGTTATCTCTTTACTTAGGATTTTCAAGTAGGTTTCTGACTCTTTAGTTCTTTTGTTTTCTGCATCCAGTGGTCTTATCACAAGTTTGCATCAAAGTTTTATGCAATATTGGTTATTAACATTTCTTTATATAGGTGTAACGTTATACTTAGCATAGATATCCTAAGCTTTTATTCAAAATAATGCAACTGAAGGTTACAGATATACTAATCTAACTAATCAACAGAGCCAGTCATCATAATACAGATCTATTTTCCAAAATTTGTCATCTATGAGATTTGAACTCTAGATTTGCTATTTGGAAATTGACAACCTGACTACTTCACTAGGTTGTCACATCCTATTTTAACTCTATTTAATTAACATATTTAATACTAAAGCTTATATTCTAAAGGAAACAATTCAACCAAAACTGAACTGGCAGAGAATTTTCTATATGCTGGATATTCTAACTTCTTATTACTAAATTTATTTTCATGTATAACTATCATACTTTTCACTAGAGCTTATATTTTAACACTTGTTATATTTTAATCAATCATCTTATTTTTTGCTAAAAATCTCTAATCTTGTCTTATTGTTGTGTTTTTCTAAAACATGTGTACTTATGTTTTATCTACAACACAGGCTTTTTCAAAATAGAACTGATAAACAATCACAATTTAGAAGGATCAACAATGTTGATTTTAATGAAATTAAGCTAGATTGTCTACTTTTTAATAAAAATTTCTTAGAAAAAAGTAGAAAGAGAATTTTTTAAAGCACTAACTGTAATACTGTATATATAGAAGTTTATATTATATAGAATAGTATATCCAACTAGGCTTCTATCTTTGCTATTGCTCAGATATAACTTGATAAAAATTTTCTTGATTATATCCAAAGTTATTTTTTTAATAATTTTATAGACTTTTATTAGAGAGTTAAACCTATAAGAAGCTGTTTTTTTTAACTCTTTTTTATATTACTCATATGCAATTTGAAACTCTTGATTTAAACATTATATAGTAAAATTTTGTTATATATAAATATACTAACTATATAATTTTTGTAAATTGATATATATATAAAAATTAGTGCAAAAAATCATTAGAAAAAGTTTGTTTTTTTATTTTTATAATATATTATAAATACTTTTATTTTATCATAATTATATTATATACAATAATTTATATATAATAAAATAGAAAATAAATATAGAGAATGTGACAACTTAGTGAAATAAATAAGTTGTCAACCTTCCAAATAGTAATTTGTAAGTTCAAAACTCACAGACAGCAAATTTTATTTATTTATTTTTTTTTAGTATTAAGATGACCTAATCACTTGTCAGTATTGTAGTTCAATGAACCACTACAAGAAAGCATACAATTGGCTACATATGTAACTTTTTTATATTACTTATTTAAGAAGTTTATCTAAAGGTTTTCTACTAATTGCTGTACTTAATATTTCTTCTTGAGTGTTTTACTTTAAACTCTTTGAACCTGTAATCTGTATTAACTTACTAGGTTATATCTAAATAATTAGATCATCGTCTCAATCTTAGGACTAATTTATTCTTAAGGTAAACCCTTTAGAGCCTTCTGTATTTATTTTTATAGCTAATCTAGGTATTGCTATAGCAAAACCAATACTTGCAGTTAGAGCTTAACTATTAAACTGCTATGCTCTTGTAAAGTTCACTTAGACTCTAGTATCTACTTTATAGCATAATCTTAGTACTTTAGTATATTTTTAAATTTCATTAGACTCCTAATTCAAATAGTCTATATAGGATTATAACCAGTCTATCAGTATATTAGACCAGCCTAATATCCTTTTTTCTCAATTTGTTCTGGCAACCTGGTTGGTAGTACTTTCAAGATTTCTAACTCAAAAATTTTTGTCTGTCTGGTTACTAAGATCTGGATATCTGTTTTTCTAAACTAGCCTTTATAGTAGTATTGTCAAAAATCTAGCTACCTTTCTGCTCAGGTCTTTTCAAATAGACTTTTTGGTATCTAATTTCAACAGATTTACATGGCCACAAAGACTTATCTAGTATTTATACTATTTAGTTGTCAGTTTATGTTTTTCTATATAACTCCAACATTGTATAGATGCCTCATGACCTGCCAGTTATGCTGGTGTAACTACTATTATAGGTATTTTAACTCAATTATTAGTAACAGTTGTTATAATATAAATATTATATAGATGATTATTCAAATTTTCATCATTGATGAGATTTAAACACTCACCTACCACTTGAAGGGTTAACAACCTGACCAATTTACTAGATTACTACACCTTATACAAATTTTAGATAATTATCTATATAATATATAAATAGTATTATAAAAATAGCATTTTGTTGATCAGTTGAAATAAAATACTTGTAACTACAATTGTACTAATATGACTGGCAGGTTATGAGGCATCTGTGCAATATTAGAGTTATATAGAAAAATACAAACTGATGTCAGATAATACAAACTCAAGATATGTTCTTGTTGTTATATAAATCTGCAAAACTGAAAAGCTAAAATCTATTTAAAAAGACATAAATAAAATATAACATACTGTAAATTTTCAATAGTATTACTATAAAGATTAGACTTATAAAATAGATATTAATATAAAAAAATCAAATATGCAAGAACCTTAAATAAGAGATATTACTAATTAGATTACTGAAAGTCTTGAACTAAAGAAAAGAATCTTGGAAAATAAAACTTTAAAATATCAGAAACAGGTTACAGTTCTTTTAAATTATTTAAATTAGAAATCTATAAGTACTAAAAATATGTTATAAAGTCAATATTAAAGTTTAAATAAACTTTGTAAGAGTAAGCTCTGTTAACAAAAGATTCAATATAAGTAATTAGTTAGTAAAAGAATTCTCTAAAGATTTACAATTAGATAATATATTCTAAAATATATAATGTCTTAACAAACATATAAACAGTAAGATTAGAATTAGGTTAGATAGCACTTAGATGTATAAGAACTTGTGTACTATCTGTCAAATATAATATAAGAATCTGAATGTTTAATTAAGTAATCTTCTAGCAGATTACAGATATAGCAACTAGTATAAAACCTGTGAATAAACTATTTAAATAAATAGTATTCTAGAATAAAAGTTTTCTTAATTCTATACTATAACAATGACACAGTACAGTGAATTCTTTATAGATATATGCAGTGTTAAGAAAGAAATATAACTTCTATTAAATGTTGTTAA